ATAAAAGTACATGTCAGGAAAAGTACAGGAGAATGGATTTGCTATTTCATGTGCAAAGCTGAAAATATTATTATTTCTTGAGTATGCATGTGATCACAGTTATCTAAAGAAAATTTAAAGGGAAATCTGAGCAAAATTGTAAGACAAATTCCTAAATGGTCTTATTTTATTTTTTTGGTTTTTCGAGATGTTTTTTTTTCTAAATGGTCTTATTAATAAAAAACCTGGATCCAGATACTGGGGTGAAAACTGAGAGATCAGAGGAATAGGAGAAGCAACAGCCAACCTCATCCTATCAATTCCTCAGCTTCTAAAGAGACCTACTTTCTGGATACCCATGCCTATATGCCTTTCTGTTCTGCCATCTCACTACCTCTCTCCACACAGCTACATCACTTCCTCTTCCTGTCCAGCTCTGTCACTTCCTGTCTGTCTGTACAGACCTCCAGATCTTTATGGTTAACTACTGTTGGAATTTAAGTTGTGTGCCACCATGCCTGGCTCTGTTCCCAGTGTGGCTTTGAACTCACAAAGATCTGGATTGTTCTCTGCCTCCCAAATGCTAGGATTAAAGGCATATGCTACCACTGCCTGACTTCTATGTTTACCATAGTGGCTGGCTTTTTCCTCTGATCCTCAGATAAACTTTATTGGGGTGTACAAAGAAAGTATCACCACAGAAAATGGTTTAAAAATTATCTTCAAACAAAGGGTAGAATAGTCTCAGACAATTGAATGACACACATTGAAAACATATAAGTTAGGAATTCTTCATAAAATAATGATACACACAAAAAAGAGCATGATACAAACTGTTTTACGTGATCCAGATTATATGATTTATTTTATTATGGGGAGAGGGGGCGAAAAACTAGATGTAACTGTACCAAAATGTTAGCTATGGTTTTTAAACAACAACAACAAAAAATAAATGAAATGATCACCTCTGACTTTGTCCCTTGTGTCGTTTCTACTCTATAATTCCTATTCTTCATTTTATGATAAGGATATTGAACTATTTTATAATGACAAAATATAAGCCTACTAAAATATATTGGTTTTTTGTATTTACTGGATTAACATATGCTTCTGAGCCTCACAGTATTTAACCTTGTTTTTCCTTTCTTGCCTTTGCGGTCCCATGTTGCCTGTGAGAGTCCAGACCCCGGCTCTGGGAACATTGCCCAGCCAGCTACAGATTGTGATCTGTGTCAATAAATGTGGTGATTAGGTGGCTTCCTGATTTTATTACCTGCTGCTCAGACCTGAGCTTATTTCCCACAGGGGGTTACCATGGATAAGGGACGTTGACTCTCTTGTTCCAAGACTGCCTTGGACTGCCCCACAGGGGCCTCGAGGGTCCTTTGCAGCACACACCCCCATGCCTCATCTGCCTCTGGGCTGCCTCCCCATTTCATTTGAGGCTAATTTGGACAGGCCATCAGGCTCCAGGGAGAGGGATAAGGAGACAGCTGTGTTCTAACCAGTGATCTTTGTGGGGTGACAGGAGACTTCCCATTTCTCCTGCTGCTGAGAGGTGCTCTGCCCAGGGAGACACACCTTGTTGTGTATCGTGACTCCAAGGAATTGTGAAAAGAGTTGTGTTTATTTTAAACAGCTATTGTGGCAGCAAACTCCATTGTCTATTTTTGTGACTGTAACACACACACACACACACACACACACACACACACACACAAACACACACATGCACATCCGTAGAAATCCATCCAAAAAATCTAAATATGATCCATCAAGGATTTGAAGGAAGCACAGATTGGAGAACTTTCATCCAAAGACATCATTTCAGCTAGCCAATAGGAATAATTTCTAAGATCCATTATATAGCATGGAGCCCACACTGAGTTAGTGAAAAATTTCTAAAAGACTCTAGATTTATATTAGAAATACACAAAATGGTAAGTATGTGAGGTTATTTGTATGTTTATGAGTTTAATTTGACTGTTGTTCTATGTGGCATACATGTATAAAAACATCCTTGTACACCATAATTTTTTTAAAAAAATGTAATTACACAACTAAGAAATAAGTAAGACAATTGAATTCTTTTTCAGAAAACACAGCAAAGCTGTGGTACAGACACACTGTTCCTGAATGCATAAGGCTTTAGCCACGAACATGTTTAATTCCAGAAATAACATTCCTTTGCGGTTAGGGGCAGAAGGAGCAGAGGGAAACAAACCCACAGACCCACAGACAATCCTGCAATATTCTTAAAACCCCTTTAGAAGAGCAGGAACTCAAGGATAAAAAGAGGATAAAAAACCCTGTCAGGCTGAGAGATTGTCTCATTTTCAGCATGCTTAATGGACCACTCAGGTGCTGTTTGAAAGATATCAGTGCAGCGGAGCACGTGACCAGAGGAGGCACGGGCCTCTTTCTGCCGTCTGAGAGCCGGCATCTTCCACTGCCAACCATTATTGTTGGCTCTCCCAGCCATGGAGCATTCCGAGTCTCTTTCAACTGTATGTCTTATTAAATACGCATAGCATCCATAAGCCCTTGGCCCACTGCGACAGGGGAATGCCTGGAAGAAACAAAGGGGACAATATTAGAACTCTTTCTAAATAGTAAAACTATTAATTTAACGTATTCCGTGGGGAATAATCAATAAAGCAGATTGTATCAAAAAAAATTGCAAGCCATAAAGGAACTGAGTGCCCCTCCATGGTCTGCAGAGATGAGCGGAATTCTTCTGCAGAGGGTCCCCTTTGTGCGTTCCTGTGTCACATTTAAAGCTGCCGAAGCTGGCGGACGATGTGTGCTAGCTTCCTAACTGTATCGATTTTTTTTATTCTTTCTGAATTGAATGTGAATTATAATAAAGCCTGACCTTCATGTGAAGCCAGCCACCAAAAGCTTCCTTTGTTGGAGCATGCTGTCACTGGGCTCCTTTGCCAGAAGCTCTGGTGTGAGGGAGGTGTTTAAAAAGCCCAACATCTTCTGTTAGCAATTCAGAAGGATCTTTCATTTTTCTCTCTTTAAATATGAACTCCATATAATGTCTGTCAAAAGGGAAGAAAAGCCCAGTGGGTACCTGAGCTATCCCGGGTTTCCTGGTGGCGAATATGAATGCGCATGCGTAAGTGTTCCTCTCTGCTGGCTGGCCTAGGGGGAAGGTAAGGATAGAGAGGGAAGGAAGGGCTAAGGGGTGGGACTAGGGGTAGAGAGGGTAGGAAGGACTAAGGGGTGGGAAGGGAGAGGATGGCAGAGTAAAATAAAACCTTGTTCTGATCACTTCTAGGCCAGAACTATGGTATTTATAATTTATTTTCTGTTTTCTCTCTGCTTCTGTCCCTGTCTCTGGCATATGAAGATCGATTGGACACTGGTTTGGAGATGAAGCCCCCATGTAGACTGGAAAGAGAAAGAGGGAAGGGTAAAAAAAGAGGGAGGAGAAAAGGGCGTTGTGGGGGGTGGGGGTGGGGTGGGGGACGGGGCGGGACAGGAGAGGGGGAGAAGTTCTGAACGTGGAGGCCAGGAAAGCAGAGAAGGCTGATGTTTAAGCTGGCTCCTTGCAGAATCCCACACCTGTTCCAGCACAAGCACCGTGTTGGTTTGATCCGGTCTCAAGAAGTCAGACCTGAGTGTTAGAAACATCTTCCTGTTTTTATGAACCCTGCAGTTTTGATTCAAAGTTTTCAGGAAAATCCGTCTTATACGTAAAATCCAAAGCAAAATCGCTGAGAGCAGTTTAGCCGGGCGCCCAGAGAGAAGGCATCTGAAGCCAGCAGCCTCGGTGTGACCCGAGGCCTCTGTACTCTCAGGTCTGCAGAAGTTCGTGAGGGGTTCACATCAGAAAACAGACCAGTAAGGCCAGGTGCATTGGCTCACAGCTCTAATCCCAGGGCTTGGAGGGATGAGTGCGAAGAACGGCTGTAAGTGCCAGGCCAGACAGGGATAAAGAACAAGACTAGATCCAAACACCACCACAACAAAATGGGCCAATAATGGTTCAGATGAAAGGACTGAGGGCGGCCGGAGCATTGAGAGGAGGGCATTCTCCAAGCCCACACCTGGTCAGGTCTGGCTGTGATTAGTTTCACTGCTAAGAAGAAAAAAAAAAAATCCCAAGCTGGGTGAATCCTTTTGAGCTCAGAAGGAACACGAAGGAGCTCCTGGATGAGAGGGTGGTCTAAGCTGAAGAAGTGGGCAGCCGCACATACATGAGGGTGCTCTGCATGACGACGGTGCTTTGCTGGGCCACTGGCCACATGCACAGTGACAGCTCTATGATGCCATTGCCCCCAGTGACTCAGTAGACACCTTGGCGTGTGTAATGGCCGTCTCTGCATGCTCATGCATGATGAAATCATCTGGTGGAGCATTTGGCCTGACACATCCACCCTGGTATTAACATGCATGGTTACCTTTACCTAGGATGTTCAATTAAACTTTATAACCTGACAAATAATAAGGCGGGCAAATGTATAATTAGTCAGCTAATTTAAAAATTAATGAACATTTAAAAACAAGGCACACAAATGAGCCAATATCAGTTACCTCTCCTGTTGATGTTATAAAACATCCTGACCAAAGCAATTTAAGGGAGAAGGGGCTTGAATCTGCTCACAGTTCAAGGCAGGAAACGATTGGCCATAATGAGAAAGTCAAGGCACCAGCCCACAAGGCACTTGAGGCAGCTGCTGGTCACCTTGGATCTTCAGTCAGGAAGCAAAGAGCAATGGAGCCCGCACTCAGCTTACTTTCTCAACATAGGGAATGGTGCTGCTCACATCAATATCCTAGAGGCCATCTCCCAAGTGATTTAACCATCACAGAGTGGACCTACGTTTTTTTTTTTTTTTTTCTTTCAAAAATAGTTTTCAAACCATTAGTGATTTTTCTAAGAAAAAAATTTCTAATAAATTTCGCTTTCACAGATACAGAGAATAGTTCATAGAGCTAGTCTAAATGTTTCAGGTCCCAAGAACTAATTCTCTCTCTCCCTCCCTCTCTCTCTCTCCTTCTTGATTTAGTTTGTGGTTAAGTGATCTGCAATTCTAGCTGCAGGACTTATGAGTAACAGCTGAAGACAAGGAAGGAAGAAGAGTCCCAGGAGCTTTGGAGACTGCCTAAGGTTAACCATTTGAAAAGAGAAGTTGAATTTAAGTCTTCTTCTGTTCCCTGAGCACACCAAGTCCTTCACCCTCCCCTCTTCTTCTCCTTTCGCATTCTCCTGCACTTTGTGCACTTCTTATTCACTGCTTGCATACTCTCTAAACTAATAATCTGAAAGCCTGAAAGTAACTGGGGGCAGTACAACAGACTTCTCAGGGGAAGGGAATCCTGCACTGGGACTATGGTATAACATTCATTCTGTTTTTATAATTTAAGGTGCATCCTGAAAAGCCCGGGTTTTAGAATGGCCTGTAAGATGGAACATACCTCTTTGGTTCTACCTGATACATTCAGCAATATCATAGTATTAATATTAAAACATTGCCGCTGTGGGGACAAACCAACACATCGAAACATTAGAATCCACACCTTTCTGTCACAGAATGCCGTTATCTTACAAGATGTGGAGAGAGACTCCGTCATCTCCTCCTCCATCAAGAGTAATCTTTTTATGAGTCCAACACTAGTTGCCCAACCCACTCCTGTCTCATGAAGCTGCTGGATGGTCATGCTATGGTTTTCTGATGTGCTTCCAGTTTCTGGCCGGCCAACAGCAAGAAAGACAACTAGCTGGCAACAGGCCACATCATAGTCCTGCCTATGTTTACCTGTGGTTTTATAGAAAAAGCATGTTGGAACAGAACAAAAAAATCCTGGATGATCTATTGAATATCAATATAATATCTGAACATATGTGTTTCATGTTATGTTTCTGATCAAGATGGAGTACCAGGGATGAGAGTCATTGTCTATATAGAATAACAGACACATGGCAGTCCATGCTTGCAAGGTGTGTACACTAGCTGCTTACACTATAGTCTCTGAGAGATAGAGACAAGCTTAATGGGCTTTAGAGTACTAACCTACTGCCTTGAGTATCCTTAAAGGCAAGGATGATGTGGAGAACCTAGTTGGAAGGCATCAGGGTCTCCCTCTCACAGGCAGGAGTCTTCAGAGTCCTGTTCCCAGGGATAAGTTTTAGACAGAAGACAGCTGCATAGAAAAGGACTCCTGACAGACTATGGGAGGTCCCCTTTCATGGTGAGCTAATCACAGACCAATAGTGCACACAAGGTCAGGGAGTGAAGCACAGGGGATGTGACATTGAGAGAGCCAGGAAGGGGTCTTCTCCCACCTGTCAACCAGGAGTCCTAAGGATCCACTCCAAACTTGGCCAAGTCCACAGAAGTTCTTGCTGCTTTAGTGGAAAATAATTGCTGCAATAACCACAGTGTTGTTATAAATGATAAAATGCAAACTCTCCAAACAGTTGGAATTTTAAAGGGAAAGGAGCCACCATTTGGACCACACCAGATCTAAGTTTTATAAAGCAGGTCAACATAGAAAAATATTTTCACTCCATGTATTTGTGTCCTTGTTAGTTTATCATAATGTTATTTACTGATCATTTTCAAATTCGTGGAGAGATATTGACCTCCAGGTCAACAGAAAAGAACAGGGAACACAGAAATCAATGTCCGTGTACACAACTTATTTTTGACAAGGTGGGGAAGTCAATGTAATGGCGAGTGGGCTGCCTTTCAAACAAGAAGGGCCAAGGAGGTGGGCATGTACTCATGTGATCTGTCCATAAATACCAGTGAACTCAAAATAGATTATAGTTTTAAAGGTGTGCCCTAGTGCTGAAATGATTCTTGAAGTAAACATGAACTTTGTGGAACAAAGGCTTCATAGACGTGATGTAAAAAGGATGGAATGTAAGACAATCTCACAGGCAGGTGCTCTGGAAGCCCTTCACCAAAACTCTTTCCTTGTGATTCTGAATTGTGCCCAGTGGACTACACAAGTAGCCACTACAGGGGTATTTTCAGTGCTCATCTTTACATTATTGAACATCGATATTCTATCTTTAGAAAAGTTTCTGTTTGTGTAAGAAAAGAATAATAGAAATTGACTTTAAATGGTGATGAGAGTGCTTCCCCCATATTTGAGACACTATAAAGCCAGAATATATTTATGTTAAAATATATCTAGATTGGAAAATCGATTAGATGTTTGAAAACTGAAAAAGAAAACTTTCACTCTGAAAGACATGGTCCAAATAATATAAAGACAGAAGTAAAATGAAATAAAAATATTGCAAACACAACTGATCCGATGTTACTTGTAATACACAAGGGACACTCAAAATTCAACAATGAGATAAACAGTAGGAAAAAAGACTTATTCAAAGATTTACATAAGGAAAGTGTAGAGATGACAAGTAGGTGTGATGAAAAACACTAGCATCAGACACAAGACAAATTATGCTGAAAATTCCTAATTTTAGGAAAAAATCATGTATTTGTTTCATTTTTAGTTTCTCACAATAGTAGTTAGTGTATATTGTCAAATTCATTGAAAACTATATTAAAATTTAGCCCAAAATACCTTAAAGTTTTTGTAATAATATATTCTGGTTGGCACTTCTATATCAAAGTTATACAAATTGTGAAACTCGGAATAATGCTGACAAAGTGCTGGCTCTTCAAGCTTGAACTTCATATATCTCGTGTGCCTGTCTACACACATGTGAACATATATATATAAACATACACACAAAACCCATACATACACATGTTACAGAATAGAAAATCAGATAATAGTGTGTTTTGATTTAGTTCTATGATGAATCATTAATTTATTTTACATGGTATTAAACACATTGTGCAGAGTGCTTCCTACAACAATGATACATTATTGTCTAACTGTGCACATCTCTCTTCTTCCAGTGTTTGGTTATGCAGACAAAGCTGTGTGCACATCTGTGTATAGTCTGTATGAAGACAGATGTTTTCAATTCTTCTGGAGAGTGACTTGGTTATACATCAGGAGTCATGTTTAACATTATGAGAGTTGAGAAAACTCTTGTCCTAACTGAATATTGATGCTTTCAGACCATAATTTAAAAAAAGATGTCAATTTTTAGTAGAACTGAAATACAACATGTCAATTCAGTAGAATGATATTCCTTATAGATAATCTATAATTCAGAAGATCTTACAGTAATTGGGTCTTCCTAGATGCCCTAATGTTTCATTACAGTGAAGATGTATATCTTATTGTATTCATCCCTTTTTATGAATACGTGTTCTTAGCTCTGAAATAGGCATCATTAAAATAATGATCTGTTTTTCATTGCATATTCCTTTGTTTCACTCAAGTGATATCTTCCGGTATTCTGACTAGATCTAATTTGGCTCTTCTCATTTAGTTCCAAAGTCATTTATTCTTAGGTTTTTGTTTTCTTTCACATCAGCACTTTCTGCTTTTGATCTCAATGTCTGCATGTCTGCCTTCCCATTTTCTAATTCTCTTTGCAGCTGAGTCTAATTTTCTATGTTTACACTTCCCATTAAATAGATAATGCTGATTTTCAAATGCGTTATTTTCAGATTCTACTTGCTCCCCCCTCTTGGGAAAAGGTTTCAGTGAGATGTGATCGTTTCTTAAGTTGTCATCACTTTTAAAAATCTATTTTCTAAAACAAGTTAGATGCAGTTGTTCTGGATACAATGGTTCTTATATTTGCTTTTCTTACTCTATAATGTACTGTCTGCCTTTTCCAATGATCCTTGCTTTCTGCATAGACATTTTCAACTGTGAGTTCATGTTATTTAAAGTCTTGTCTGTGTCCTGTGTTTCTGGAGAGATGAGTTTGCTCTGTCAGGTGAAGTGTTCCTTGCTTCTCTCATCGCTGTGACACAGTACCAGAGAGGAGCGAACAATGGAAGGCAGAGTTGATTTCAGCTCACAGCTTGAGAGTGCAGCCCACCACGGCAGGGGAAAACATGACACTTGAAGCAGTTGGCCTCCTTGCATCAAGAATAAGGGAGAGAATGATGACCAGCCCGTGGAAGTGTTGCAGCTCTAAAGGGAAAAGTATCCTGGAATTCAGGAGCCAAGAAATACCACAAAATCACACCACACAACAAACCTCACACACAGAGAGATTTATTGGGAGGGAAAATCTCAGGAGCGGGGGTTGCCTTGGTTCAGGAGAGAAGCAGCAGAGAACCGAGCAGAAGACAAGGTTTATATAGGGTTTCTTGGGGGTGGAGCTTTCCAGGGTCGGGATTGGTGAGTTTTCAAGTGCAGAGCTTGGCCGCCTGCATCTGGAGAGGATGGGTCCTGTTGTTAGAGTGTTCTGTGGGTGGAGCCTGGCAGCTGGAGGTCCTCAGGTGTGGGGCCTGGCCACTCCATGCCTGAAGGGGCTTATACCCATGCTCATCTTAACGTCTTTTTATGCAGTTCAGGATCTCATCACATGGAATGATGCTGCCCAAATTTGGATGCGTTTTCCCACCTCACTATCATAATCTAGACCATCCCTTACAGGCATGCCCAGATGCTTGTCTTCTGGATGATTTTAGATTTGTCAAGTTGACAATGAACGTTAACCCTTGCATGAATGAGATGCAAGACCCCGCATCTCACTCCATTCCACCTCTCCTTCATCAGAAAGTGCAGGAACAACAACAGCTCCATGGCTTTTGTCAGAATGTGGGTCATGCAAAGCTTCTGTGTCTTTCCATATTGTGCTCTGTCCTTTCCATTTGTAGCTAGCATGGTCATGAGTAATGTGCACATATCAGCATTTTTATGTTCAAGCATCTCTATGACCATATAATCCATTATGTAACTGGAGAAGAAAATCCACGTTGATTAAGTCACTAAGTATTGGAAAAGCCCCTTTTGTGGGTTACCCCAGATGCCATTTTCCCTTCTGATTTCCAGATTCTTCAATATTAAGTGTTGAACAAGCTTTTTTTTCGGGGGAGGGGGTGGGTTTCTCCCTTCTTCTGAATTTCACAGTGTTCTAAGAGAAAGAGCCTTACTTAATATACTTGTATGTACATTTATATAGCATTTATAATTCCCGTGTTAGTTGCCTTGGCCACAGTCAATACTTACAAAAACCCTCTTGTGGTTTAGCAAAATTCCTTGATTTATATATAGTTTCCCCACAAAGTCTCATGTGTTGGAAGCCTGGTCCCCAGTGTGGCCATATTGAAGTAGTCGTCCTAACAGAAGATGATTATGAACCTAGGGATACTACTAAGAGACTAATGTAGTTCTCAGGGGGTCCTGGTCAGTTACCAAGAGATCAAATTCTTTATAAAGAGGAGGTCTCTGCATGTGACTTCTTTTCTTTCAGTCTTTCTTGACATGGTCCCACATGCTATGAGATGGACCCTGGAAGCCCTCACCAGAACCCAGGGGATACTGATGCCAGGTTCCTGAGTCTTTAGACTGTGGGGTGAATTATCATATTTTCTATCTATATTACTCATCTTTAGGTAATTTATTATAGCTAAAGAAAATAGACTAATGGCTGGGGAGGTGATGCAGTAGTTAAGAGCACTTATTGCTCTTAAAGAAGACCTAGCATTCACATGCTTGCTCAGAATGGTCAGTAACTCAAGTCTCAGAGGATCCTGTGCCCTATTCTGGCCTCCACAGGCACTTCATGCATGTGGTGCACATACATATATGTAGATAAAACCCATATATACCAAAAATAAAAAAATAATCTTAAAAAAAAACCACAATGAGAGTTTGTGTGGCTAAGATATTTTCAGGCTAGAGGCTTAGCCAGGACACAGCTGCGTGGTTCTTCTGGTCTTGGCAAGGCTCCAGCATCTTCTGGTAGCTTTCCAGGGTCTGCTGATGTCTGCTGGCTGCAACCAGGATGAGTGAGCAGCTTGCCTCTCTAGCTGGTGAGGCCAGATTTCGCTCACAAGAGCAGACATCTGAGAGATGAGAGTCTTGGTGTTTACAGTTCTGGCTCCCAACTATGGACTTCACATTTGTACTGCACGTGCCTTATCTACTGAGCCATCTCCCCAGTCCAACTTTGCTTCTCTCCTTGTAGTCTAGACTGTGCCATGACTTTCTTCTCAGGCAGGCCCCGCAGGTCTCACAGTCAACAAGGCACGTTCTTAGGCTCCTCTACTTTCTGTGAGTAGAAGATTTAGCTTTATCTAAGGGAAGTCATGGGCCCACCGGCTCTGTCTAACTCACACACAGATACATTCACATACATGAATACACATGCATATACATCCATAACACACACATGCATTCCTTCCCACAAACATACACACAAACACATGCACTAACACAAATACCACAAATTCATACACACAAATACACACATATGCATGCCTCCTATACACACACATACGTGTAGACACACAAACACAGAAACACATACATGTGCACACGTGAATACACACACATATACATCCACAATACACATACATATACATACTCAACACACACACACACACACACACACACACACACACATACACCCCTTCTAAAAAAACTGCCACTGCTTGCTTTTGTCACACACTCACAACAATGAGAAAGGAGACCTAGTGTTAAGTTTCCATTTTCTCTTAATGTTTTCTTCTTCCTCACACTGTCCATGTAGGAGACAAGTGTGCAGAAAGCCAGGTTACTTTACACAGGTGATGTTACCCTCACTGGTCCTTCAATCACCTATCCGATTTCCCCCATTAAGGCATTAGTGCCTGACTCTGGAAGGACTGTGACCTTTCTGTGGAAAAATATATAATTTATTTTCCCCCTGCCTAAGGGATTAGATGATTATAAAAATGTGCAGAAGAAGTCAGGGTTGTCAATTCTTTCATTCTAACTATTTGTGTTTTCAAGAGACCCAGGATGTCTTAATTGCCAAAAGATATTGTGAATTCCCACATGCAGCTGGGGAAGCCACTCTGCTGCTTGAAGGTACATGTGGAACAGCCAACATCTGTGAGTTGCCAAGGACCTGGGAACAGGGTGAGAAGAGTGAGTATATTACCTACTTTTCTGTTGCTTTGATAGAATACCGTGACAAGAAGCAACTTAGAGGAGGAAGGGTGTCTTGGGTCTGACACATCCAGAGGGATGCAGTCCTTCATGGCTGGAAAGGCCTAGCGGCAGGAGTATCACACCAGCCTGGAGGTCAGGAAAGGAGGCAGAAAGTGGAAGCCAGGAACTGTAGCTTAGGAAGTTACACCCAGCATGTTGGGAGCAGAGACAGGCTGAGGCTAGCCTAGCCTACAGAGCGGGTTCTAGACAAGGCAAGACTGCATCGAGAGACTCTGTCTGATTTTAAAAAATGGCATGGCTATGCTGGGTTACAATCCCTAAGATTAGAGGTCATACCTCCTAAGAGTTCCACAACCCCCAAAGAGGGCCACTAGCTGTGGATCAAGAGTTCAAACACATAATTATATGGGGGGGGGCATTTTTTATTCAAACTTCAATATTAAGAATGATTGTTAACTTGTAGTATTTAAAAAGGAGTGCCCACCAGCAAAGCCAGTGATGGAGAGAGCAATCACCACCACCTCTGGCTGAGGCGTGCCTACAAGGAAGATCGGAAGGAGGTAAGATCTATGACAAAAGCCCATGTCCATGTGTGGCACCTCTTGGGTTAGACCCAGGAAGAGTGGGAACTGGTCCTATACCTTACACTCACACTGGAGCCCTAGAACCAAGCAAGACCCAGGCCTACCTAACAGAAGCAACATACCCACTCTCTTGAATTATGAAAATTTTTTAGATGACTTTTCATAGCCTGATGCAGCCTCTTTTTTTTTTTTTCTGTGATATCCCTATGGGCTTACAAAAACTCACAGTGTAGTAGAAGGTGAGAGAACAACAAGCTGAGTGAGTATAGATATGCCTGAGAAGTGTCCTGGTGAGGTGTGTGCAATGAGAAGATGCTTCCAAGGATGTCTTTGAGCTCAGGGTTGAAAGTGTGCAGGAGTTAGGAGGACTTTAGGCCGAGGGAAATTGTCCCTAACAGCAAAGGCGATTGTGTGGTTCCAGGAAGTGAGAAGACATATGAGGGGTCCAGCATATTCCAATATGGCTGCATCCAGGGCATGCATGTGAGGAGCTGAGATGGGCTGGGGGTTGAAGAGGAAGAAGTACATCTACCTCCTGTTAAGGCTGTGGAAAATAGAGTCCGTTGGAAGGCCATGGAAACAACCAAAGAACCATGATGAAAACTGAATGATAGTATTCCAAGAATCAGCTTCAAGGACTCATTAGGATACTTTCCTCCCTCAGGATATTGACCAAGTGTTCAGGAGTCTAGCTGAGAATTCCTCACTGCTTACTGCGGTTCTAATCCCAGCTGTCAGCCAAGAGCCCCAGATGTGTGGCTGCAGGAAAGGGGATGCCATCCAACACTCCATGCAGTTCAGAAAAGATCTCTCCATGGAAGTGCTTAGGTCAAACACAGAAAGGGCTGTTTCCAAAGACCTGGCTTCATCATAGAACAGCAGCATCCCTTACAGATGACTCCTATGTGAACTGACCTGGCCTCCTCTCCCTTTCATTTGTCAGGTGGACATCTGTCATGTGATATGTAGGAAATGAGACCCTGTATACGCACAGGTTAGATTAGACTCCTTTCTTGTAAAAGGAAGAAAGTCTTTAGGTTTTTGTTTTTGTTTTGTTTTGTTTTGTTTTACAGTTTTCAATTGGTTTATAGATCAGATAGATTCCATCATCCATGTTTATAGATCAGATAGATTACATCATCCATGTTCAACTGAACAGTCCCATAGATAGGTCAGTCATTTTAGAAGATTTCTATAGAGAAATAATAGAATAATCCGAGTTCAAGCACAAGTGAACAAGAAGAAAACGGCAGAGCTGACACTTGGCTGCTGCCCACAGCTCTGCATGAGCAGCTCCACAAAGGATGCCAGTCACGACCCAGTATACGCCTCCCAGCAGGACCACACTGAAGCTAGCATCCTTGGTCTCCACGCTGGAGATGGCACTTTAATGACACACGCAGAAGCAATTGTTGTTTTAAAAGAAACCACTGCTATTTGCTGAAAATATCACAGACACAGGTGTTCAGAAATATTTCTGTAACTGTGATTTTATCACCCAAACCAATAATTCACCTGTTTAAATAAAATAGCAACAGGAAATCTTGCCAGTTGTGAAGTTTATTTAAAAAAATCTAGAAAATATAATTTCTAATTTTGAAAAAATTTGAATTATGGAGTTTTAGTGTAATTATAACCCATTTGTTAATGTAAATGCAGTGTGTGGTTGGATGGATACAGTAACATGCATGGTATAAATGTATGAAATTTTCAAAGAATGAATAAAAAGTCAGATGACTGACATAATAAAGAACAACCACAGGATTAGTTTATAGATCAAATTTTAAGCAAATTGGCTCCTGGATTTTATCGCTGAGAATCATTATTGTCTAGGAACAGAACCAAAATCTTCTTGAGTACCACTTGGAGACATGTTCACCAGTTAAAAACAATGAAACAGGGCTGGAGTGATGGCTTTGCCGTTAAGAGTGTGAAGTACTGCTCTTCTGGAGAGCCTGAGTTTGGTTCTAGCACTCAACCTCAGGAAGCTCATAGCCAGCAACTCCATCTCCAGGGACACCCCACCCCCAACTTCTTACCTCCATGGGCACCTGCGTACATGTACACATACATACAGAGACACTTAAATAAAGATAAGTCTTTAAAAAAACAATGGAATAAACTGATCTTAGATACACACATTAAAATCTTTGTAATGATATTCAACTTGGTCTTCAAATTTCATAAAATAACCCATATTTCATCAGCTTCTTTCAGGAAAATAATTGCCCATTTTTATTTTTTACAGCATCTTTTAGGTTCAGGTTTGGGGGATATTTCAATAAATTGGATATTAACAACTTACTACTAAAGATCAATACATAAATTTCCTCACTTTGGGACTTAAAAACACTTCTTTGAGAGCAATGTGGAAAAGGAAAGTCATAGAAATTCTTTCAAGGTATGAGAAATAGCATTCCAGGCAACAAAAGCAACTGTTTTAATTAACCTTGGTTGTCAACTTGACTGAATCTGGAATCAACAGAGACAGTTTTCTGAGTATATATTAGAGGTTTTTTTTGTTTTTGTTTTTTTTTTTCCTGAAAACATTAACTGTTGGCTTTTCCCAGAGTGTCTAGAATCTTCTGGTAGCAGCCCAGATACAAGAAGGCCAGGGGGCAAAGCTGTTGCTTTTTGACTACCTGACCTAGCCTCTAGCTGGTAGGTGCAGCTCATCTGTGGCTACCAACGCCGCTGTGGCCATCTCTCTCTAACTCCAGAATCCAGACTTCCAACATGGACTGAAGACTAGAGGTGCCTCTCTGGGAATCCTCCAGGCCTTCAAGAGACCAGACTGGTGAGGCATCAGGGTTCTCTTTCTCTCTATTGTGCAGACAGCTGTAACTGGACTACCTAGACCAACAATATCATGTAATTCACTCCTCTTTAAATATACATTCATCCTATTTCTTCTGTCCCTCTGGAGAACCCTGATCATTCCAGAGGGAAAGACCAACTCTCTCCTTGACCTCTATGCACTGCCCATGGCTGCTTTCTACAGCAGGGTTTAGTGGTGTGAGGACAGACCTTACACCTTGCTTAGCTGAAATCACTCACCATGTGGTCCTTTATGAGAAGTTCTGTATGCCCTGATTAAAACAATTAAAGTAATCATAGGCAGCTCATTTTGCACAAAGAACCTCAAAGAGGATTTTATTTCTAGGATAGTAAGGTGAGGATGTAGTGTAGGATATGGCCCTATGTAGTGGTTTGGCTATGTATTGTCCCTTCTAAAGGCTTGAGTGTGCTATCAAGAGGTCATTGGATCATAGAGATGCTGACTTCAACAGCTGGCAAGTGGGAGGTGGGGCTCTTTGGAGGAAGTTTGTCATTGGAGTTTCATGTTGAAGATCCTTTCTAGTGTCTTTCCTTCCTTGTGGCCTTGAACCAAAGCTCTGCTCCAGCACATCTTTCTATCAAGATGCATGTTCTCACCATGGACCCTCAAACTGTGGACAGAAACTTCTCAAATTGCAAGCCAACTATGTCTTTCCTCTCTTTAAATTACTTCCTCTTAATGTTCGTATCAACAGTGAGAAGCATGGGTAATGCACTGGTGATGACTTATATTGATTTTTAAACTACATGGGATCTAGAGTCACCTTGGAGAAAAGCCTTTGGCCTTGTCTGTGGGGGGGTTTCCTAGATTTGGGTAACTGAGGTGAGAAGATGCATTTTAAATATAGATGGCACCATTCCACCAGCTGGGGTCCCTGACTGCACAACTGGGGGAAAGCTAAGCTAAGCTGAGCTCCAGCTCTCTCTCTCTCTC